CCACGGGGTCGATTCCATGCAGCCGGGTCACTTTGGTGAGGTCGGACAGCACCCCCTGAAAGAAGCAGAGAGCAGGGCAGGATCAGCCTCAAAGGGAGTGCCGGGCGTCGGGCGTGGAGGGCTGGGCTGTGTACAGACCTGAATGAGGACAGGCTCCTGCCTTGCAAGGCTCAATCATCTCATTAGCAAGCCAGGCGAGCGTGTGGCCCCTGCCTCCTGCCCTTAGAGGCCTCTCTGCCCAGCAGATCCCTGCCCACCTCAGCCCCCGGACCTTCACACGCAGCTTTCCTGGTCTCCATCTAGGCCTGGGGTGAGGGGAGCCCCGAGGGGCCCTGAGACCTGTGGTCAGGGCATCCGGTGCCGGAGCCTCGCCCTGGCCTCCAGACATCTGGCAACTGACTGCACTCAACTGACGGAGAACCCACTATCCTGAGAGGAAAGTGGCCTCGGTGTGAGCGCCCCGTGGAAACAAGGCCAGGAGGCAGCTGCCCATGAAACTTCATGGCAACGGTGGCACCAAACCTGCAGTGTCCAAATGGCAGCACCGGCCACGTGTGCTACTGAGCACCTGAATGTGGCCAGGGGAACTGAAGAAATGAATTTCAATGTGTATTTCATTATAACTAACTTAAATATAAATAGTCACATGTGATTACTGGCAACCAAAACGGACACAGCAATTCTATGGGATTCAAAGGAGGAAGGAGAAAACAGCAGCCAGACCAGGCCACCCAGGGGGAACTAGGCAGCTGGGTAACCAGGCCCTGCGGATTGAGCTGCTGCTATTCCAGAGGTGGCCACACGGTGGCGCTATGGGCTATGACTTGCACCTGCTTCCAGGTCACTAGGACAGAGGGACAGTGCACCTCAGCTCCTGCCCTTTAGGGGTTCACAGGCCACCCTGTAGGTGCCCAAACCCAAAGGCGGGCCTTATCCAGTTCCTAAGGCAAGAAAGCCTTCCCATCCTCCCACCTCCTCCTTCTGGAGGCTCCACTGAAGAAAGAGAGCCCTGGGTCCGAGGCTCAAGGTGAAACCTTAAGTTCCCACTGTTCCCGGCCTGGCCTGCTGGGCCTTGTTGAGCCCTCACCACCTCCCCAGTACCCACCCACCCACAGAGCAAAAGGCGCGCACTGCCTCTATTACCCTCCCCAGAGCTCCCACTGCCCTTTGTCCTGGATAGTAAGAGCCTGTCTCTCTCCTCACCTTCCTCCATGGGCTGGGCAAGGAGGTGCACAGGGCACAGGACCTGCCCCTGCCCACGGGGCCTATAACAGAGCCCTGCTCCCTGGTTCGGAGTCTTTCTGGGGCGAGGACAGAGCTTCAGGAATAAACACAGGGACCCTCCTGCTCCCAGAGGCACAGACCTGCCCCGGACACAGCTGCCAACCAGCCCAGGGCAACCTGGAGCTTCGGGAACGGGAAAGAGGGCTCCACACTCAGAGCTCAATACCCAGCAGCCCAGCCTGGCCCCCAGCGACCCTCTCGCGGTGAAGCAGTTTTCTAAGTTCACTAACTGTTTCCAAGAACTGGCTCAGGAAAGATGAATGACTGCAAATCACGACCTGGCACAGAAACGCCTGTCAGGGAGGAAGGGACCGTGAACGCTGAACCAACCTGGCTCTGGCTGTCTGATGCTCAGGGTCCTAGTGACAGCTACTTACCTTTTCGCTCCATGCCCACAGTCCGGCTCCGAGGAAGGCAACTCCAGCCAACTGAGTAGAGGAGGGAGCGGGAGGGAGAGAGAAAGAGAGAGAGAGAGAGAGAGTTAGGCTGGAAGCCAGCACCATGAACGTGCTTCTCAGAGAAGGATCCACACGGCCAGCAGGAGAGGGGCAATGGCTCAAGTTCATCCTGGCGGATCAGGGCCGGTGGCCCCTGGGCCCTGCAGATGACAGGGTCTGGACCCCGGAACAAGGAGCCAGCAAGGCTCTGGATGACCCGCACCTACCTTCCCTGAGCATTTAAACAAACTCCTTCAGCCCCCCAGCTCCACTCGCAGGCAGGGGCCCCCAGAACACACTGCCCTGCCAAGATGCCGGAGTCAGAGGCCGCAGGCCACGGCCACTGTCCCCATTCCACAAGCACCCCATCTCAGTGCGGTCTGTGTCTACGACACTGGCAGGCCACGGCCGCTGTCCCCATTCCACAAGCACCCCATCTCAGTGCGGTCTGTCTACGACACCGGCAGGCCACGGCCGCTGTCCCTATTCCACAAGCACCCCGTCTCAGTGCGGTCTGTGTCTACGACATCGCCCAATTGCCCCCATAGGCTCTGTGCAGTGGAGGCGCTGCACAGCCCGGCACTGCCCCACCCCGCCACCCGCCTCAGGCCTCAGGCCTGGACAGACCCAAGCAGCTGCGGAGCCTGCCCCCCACCACACCCCCAGGCAACACGTGTGCTTGGGATATGCCGGGTCCTTCGTTACTAAATTAAAATAGGCCTGAGCTAAGCGACGTGCCCACCCCAGAAAAGCAGCAGGCCCCATCCCTGACCTGCCACCCGCAGGAACCCACTGGGGTTAGGCTGCCTCAAGTGCACCCTCACCCCCGAAACACCACACAGATTCCTGAACTGGGAGGATTTTCCCACATGAAACACCTGGTCTGCAGATCATCAGCCTCCTGTTTCACTCCCTTACACCGCGCAGGCACTCGCTGCCATTTATCAGGTCCTCGTGGGAAAGAGCAGAGCCGGTGTCTCCATGGCTCTCACCTCTCCCACATGGATTCTCCAGCTTCAGGACGTCCCTGCCTATGCAGCCCACCGCCAGCCTGCGGACGGGAAGAGAAGAACCTGGAAAGCAAGCCCTGGGCATTCTTACCCTCTTCTGCAGCCAATTTCAGAAAACGTGGGCATGCCCACTATTCGGAGGGAACTTCTGAGGGCTGACTTCTCACTGCTGGTTCCCTCACAGCCTGTGGACCCCAAGTGAAGAAGCCCTGGGGGGGACTGATCCCTCTGTTTCACCAAGGGGAGCACAGGCCAAGCAGAATGCCAACCGGGGGGTTGGGGGCACAACCTCCTCCTCTCCCCAGTGTCCCAGGTGGTAAGCGAGCCTGAAGGTGAGCGGTCACTGCCCACTGGATCCTGGAGGCTTCCCTCCCACCACCCCCGAGTCCTGGCTGTCTCACTCCCTCTTCAAAGCTGGAAGTGGAGGCTTTCTTCTCGGCTCATCTGGGCTCCGAAGAGCTGGTCATTCCCTTCTCCACAGACCACTCAGCTTTGGGCACGAGGAACACATTCACAGCCGTCGTTGTCCACACACCCTGTCACCACTCCTCCCCCTCCTCC